TTTAAAAGTAAGAAAAAGTCATTAAAAAATAAATAAAAACTAATATTTTATATTAAAAAATTAAAGATTCTTTTTTATTTTTATTTTTTACATATATTTTCATAAAAATTTAAAAAATCATTTTAAATATATTAATTATTTTTATTTTATATTTTAATTAAAAATTAAAAAATTACTAAAATAAGATATTTTCAAACGAAACCTCATAACACTATTAGGGTGTGTTTGTTTAGACGGACTGAATAAGGGGGGATTGTAATCCATCGAACTATTAGTCCTGCCATACATTATCCTCGGGCTATTTGGGTGGACTGGATTTGTATCCTATGTTTGTTTAGTCATGGGATTAGATGTCTGGATTGAACTATTTTTAGTTATCCAGTGTTTGTTTGAGATATTATGAAGAAGGATAAATGCTCAAATGATTATTTTATCCTTTTCAATTATTTACTAATTAATAGCAATATTAAACATAACTTTAATATTTTAATTATTTTTAGATAGATTAAATAAAAATTTATTTTATTTTATTTTATGCACAATTAAATAAATTTATTTTTGAAAAATTAAATAAATTAAATATCAATAAAACTATATGTTATTTTTTAATTAAAATTTTAAATAAATTTATTTTAAAAAATAATAATAATTAAATAATGAAATTAAATAAAACATCTATTAAAATTTAAATAATGAAATTAAATAAAATATAAACAAAATTTTAAAATAAAACATTAATAAAATATCTATAAAAAAATATTTTAAAAAATTAAATAAATAAAAAAAATAAAAATTAAATAAAATTATTTTATTTTTAAATCGAGACATTTAAATTTTTTTGAATTTTATTAAATATAATACATAATTAAATATTAGAGATTGTCTAATCTCATGGGATGAGTTATCCCATAATTTCTATCCTTCCCCTCCATGGGATAGAATAATCCCACAAATATAAGACTAATAGTCCGGGAGATTATTAGTCCGGAACAAAGTTTTTGAAACAAACAATGGACTATTAGTCTGGTAGGATTAATAGTCCAATCCTACATCCTAATCCTTCAAAAACAAACAACCCTTACTTTACACTGGAGCAAAGTATAATTTCTTTAGGAAATATAATTGAGGTCTCGAAATTTCAAGGTTTGAATGCATCGAAATTGTTTTGTTTTGTTTTGTTTTGTTGCAAATGTGGTTATCTGTAAGGGTTTGCTAAAAAATTAGATATTTCACACCAACTCAGCTCGTGTAGTTTGATAGAGTGATAAAATTGATTGATCAATTAGGCTGCTAGTTAAAATTTGTTAATTTCATATAATTTTGTATGAGTTCATACTATATTTTTATTTCAAATCAGGAAGATTTGGAAGAAATTGAACTCAAAATCATTTCGATTTTCTCCGAATCTTCCTGATTTGAAATAAAAATATAGTAGGGACTCGTATAAAACTGTATAGAATTAATAAAATTTAACCAGCAGTCTAATTGATTAATTAATTTTATCATCAAACCAGTCAAACCCAACTGACTTATCTTATCAAATCACACCAGCTGAGTTGGTGCGAGATGTCTAATTTTTCAACACACCCCTACACATAGGCTTATTTTGAGAAGATGGTAAAAAGTAATTTTTTGACTTTTAACCAAACTTTTGGCTTTTTTAGACAAATAATTTGGGAAGTTGGGATAAAAAGTGACTTTTGACTTTTTTTATTAATATTTGTTTATGATGTCAAATCATAATAAAATAACCAAATTACTCTCATTTGGGCCAAGTTTGGGAAGACTAAATAAGTGCACTTTTTAACTTTTTATGAAATATGGGTTGGATTTGGGTTGGGTTTGAAGTGATGTGTTAGAGAGGTGATGTGACTTGAATGAGATGATGTGACTTAAATAGGATAGTGACTTTTTGACTTTTTGAATTTTTTGAAAGATGCCAAACTTAGCCTTAGTTTAAAATATTTATAACTTCATTCATGTAATACATTTCAACCCATGAGGGAAATGAACTTTCCAAATGAACAAAAATTCAAAAAAATTAACTTTTAAATTTTGTTAAAAATAAAAAAAAAGTGATTAAAAACCAACATCTACCCCTAATTCACATTAAAAAAATAAAAAGTAAAAGATCGATTTGACTTCTAACTTCAAAATTATAATTTGAGAATGAAATTATAATTTAAATATATAATTGTGAATTAAGTTTTAAAAACAAAATATCTATTTAATAATGAGTTTTAAAAAAAAATTGAGTTGTATTTTGAATTTTGAGTTTTTAATTTTAAATTGTATTTTGAAATTTTTTGAATTTATTTTTTAAAAATATTTAAAAATATTTAAGGAAATTTTATTTTTTTATTTTTAATTTTTAATATTATATTATATTTTGTAAATATTTTAATTTTTTAATAATTTAAACTCAAAACACAATCCACACACAACTTTTAACTAAACACATCATTTAAAACTCAATTCAAAAATTATTTTCAAAATTCATAATCAAACACATAACTCAAAACTTTACGCTCAAATCGTAATCAAACACATAATTAAAAAATTAAAAATATATTTACAAAAATAGAATAAAATAATTAATTTTAAAATAAAAATTATATATTTAAATATTTTTTAAAAAATATAACATACAAATGTATGAAATACAGTGCACATTAAAATAAATAAATGACTATCTAAAATATAAAATATTTATCCTAAAAAAAGGAAATTAAGAAAATGTTTAAATATTTTAAAAAATAAATCTATTTTTTTTTAAATACAACTAAAAACTCAAAATACAACTCAAAACTTCTTTTAAAACTCATAACCCAAAAAAATTTGGTTATGTTTGATTTGTAATTCAAACTATGATTCCACACCTGTTATCAACCTTCTATTTGCTTACAGTTTTCAAATCATGATTTCAAATCAATTTCAAAACGCATTTTGAAAATATGTTTGACAAACCAAAGAATTTTTGAATTTTTGGTCTATCCCGTCATCTACCTGGACATTCGCCTAGAAATTTTTTGAATTTTTAGGTTTACCCAGTCATCTTACAGTTGACCAGAACATTTTTTTTAAAAATATTTTTTTAAGCAATTGGCACTTGTTATCTAGAAAAAAAAAAGTATTTGTTTTTGATATTTTTTAAATATAGAAAATATTTTTTTGAAACCAAATGACAAATTATTTGGATATTTATTTAAAATTAACAAAAAAAAAAATTGAAATAAAAATTAATTTATCACATTAATTTTTTAAAAAATAAAAAAATATATTTTTGTTAATATTTTAAATGAAAAAATGTTTGCATAATTTTTTTAAATTTTTTTTAAAAAAATTATTTTTGTCAACAATTATTTTTTTGAATTGAATTTTAAAAAGAATTTGGTTATGAGTTTCGAATAGTATAATTTTTAATAGAGTTTTAAGTTATGTGTTTGGTTAAGAGTTATAAGTTTTTGAATTAAATTTTAAAATATCTTTTCAAAACTCATAATCAAATAATTTTTCACAAACTCAACATTGATTTAAAAAATTCAACACTCGATTCAAAATTCAATTCAATTTTTTTTTTCAAAACTCATAACTAAACAAGTTTTTTATTTTCAAATGATAATTTTAAAACTCACAAACTCAAAATATAACTCCACACTTAAATCATAATTCTAAACACAAACCAAACGCTACTTTTTTATTTTCAAAACTCATAACTCAAAACACGATTCTATACTCAAATCATGATTTTAAAAATAATTTTAAAAAATGAAATAATTTTTTTTTTGTTTTTTTTAAATAAAGTTTTGAAAGGAGTTTAATTTTGAATTTTAAATTGTTTGTTTAGTTATAAATTTTGAAAGTAATTTTTGAATTAAATTTGATATATTTTTAAATTGTGAGTTTGATTATAAATTTTAAAAAGGATTTAATTTTTATTTATTTATTTATGAGAATTACGATTACAAAACAAAACCAAAAGCTGCCAAGAAGCGCCTTCTTTCTTGGTTCTTGTTGAAAAAAAATCGAAGAGGAGTGTGTTTGATTTGTGTTTGAAAGTAATTTTTGAGATAAAAAAGTATGAAAATTTATTTGATTTGTCTGTTTTAGAAATGATTTTAGAAAATTATTTTAGAGAAAAAGTTTAAAAAAAAAGTGATTAATTTGATGTGTATGAAAAAAGAGAGTAATTTTAAAAAGTAAGTAACTAAACAAAATTTTAAGATTTTTTTTAAAAAAAATTATTTAATTTGATTATTTTTAAAAATTATTTAATTTGATTATTCTTAAAAATTTATTTGCAGAAAATTTTTTCAAAAATTTTACTGAAAAACAAACCAAACAAGGCCCCCTACCTTATCTTGAAGAGTTTCTCCGTTTCACACACGAATCGACACACGTCTCTGTTCCTCTCAAAAACTACCTAACCATGTGACGCTCTGTGACTTTAATTTCCATAGTTTTCTCATCTTGGTTTTCAAAATCAAGTTTTGACATCAATGTTTCCTTTTTACCATTTCAATCTGTTTTCCATTCTGGGTTTCCCATTGAATTTTCCCCATTTTTCTTTGTTCATATTCTTAGTTCAATTCCCATTTTGGGGTTTTTGAATTTTTCCATTTTTTTCCCCTTTTGATTATAGCCTTGTGAGTCTTGCTTACTTTTCTCAGCACAAATCCAATTTGTTTTCTTCATTTTCCATCTGGGTTTTTTTCTCTTCTGCCCTGTTTAGTTTTTTGAGAAGGGTCTTCTTTCTCTGGTCCATTATCTCTGTTTTTCCATCTGGGTTTTCTCTTTCCTCTCTGTTCTCGTTCAATTTTGCCTCTCTCTCTCTCTCTCTCTCTCTCTCTCTAGTATATAAAATTTATTTTCTTCATTTTTCCCATCTGGGTTTTTCTCGTCTGCCCGGTTTAGCTTTTTGTATCCTTGTTTTCTGGTCCAGTTTCTCTCGTTTTCTATCTGGGCTGTCTCTCTCTCTCTCTCTGTCTCTCTCTCTCTCTTTCTCTTCATAGTACAGAAAATTTGTTTTTTCCATTTCCCATCTGGGTATTCTCTTCTGCCCTGTTTGGCTTTTTGTATCCATTTCTCTCTTATTTTCATTTGGGTTTTCTCTTTCCTCTCTGTTCCAACCCAAATTTGCTCCTCTTTCTCTCTCTGCTCACCTTTGATTTGGTGGAGCCTTTTGAAATTGTGTTGATTGAGCACCAATACCATTTAGTTCATAATTTTTTGCTTCAATTCCACAAAATCAGCACTCCCATAGGGTTCAACAATGAAGTGTTTTTTCCCTTTCAAGGACAAATCCAAGTCCCGGCAAGGGAGATCGGCGCCGGAGTTGAAAAACGAAACTAGCACATCGGGTAATACGGCGGCGGCGAATCGAGGGACGAAGTCGGCCGGTTCGGTATCGTCGCCGCGGAGCATACCGGAAATGTACAGAGAGAAGCAGCACAATTTGAGAGTGTTTTCATTATCAGAGCTCAGAACTGCAACCAATGATTTCAACAGGTTGCTGAAGATTGGGGAAGGTGGGTTTGGGAGTGTATATAAGGGCACAATTAGGCCTCCAGATGGGAATGGTGATCCTATTGTTGTTGCCATTAAAAAGCTAAACCAACATGGCTTGCAGGTACATTCAATGATTAAAGTTTTCCGTATAAGTGTGTCTAAAACTCTCATGTTATGCATAAAATGCTTTGTTACACTTTTTAATTGTCTTTTTATCTTATAAATAAAGAGAGAGGGGCTAATTACCCTCTTAATATACGTGTAAAAGTTTATAAAAATCAACATTGATATACGTGTAAAAATATATGAAAATGTTGATATTTTAACTATTTTTAGTACCCTAATCCGACTTATTACACATACCTCCACTTGATACCTGTACCCAAATCTATGTAAGATTGGCTTCTTTTAGGGTTGATCTGAGTTGAATTTATTGATTTCAGAAATTAATTAATCTAAGTTTGTGAGAGAGACAAGTGAAGATACCACTTTCTGTTGGCCACAATGTACTATCTTTTCCATTTTTGTTTCTATGGATTCCATGTTTTTGTTAAAAGACAAAAGTGTGAAGAATAGTAATGGTGGATACAGATCATTACATAAGTATAAAATATTTACTAATGTAATTGAGAGTTACTTTTGTTGTCCTCACTTGGAAGCGGGTGATTTCATACGCCATTTTTTTTGTAAGAACAGTAGTACTTTTAAGTCATGTTTGGATGACCCAAGTTAATTAAACTAATGTGGTGATATATTTTGTTTGCAGTGCACTTAATTGTACTCTAGAATGTGTTTGTTACAGAATTGAAGAAAATTGAGTACTCCTTGGAGGGTTTACACAACATTGGAATGGAAACTAATTAATTTTGTTGTCCATAATATTTGTGAAATGACTATATTGTCTTATATACAGAGGAATATGCCATTTGCATGGACTGCCCATTTGTGATTTTAAAAAATATAAAGTGATTTACTCTCTCTTTCTCTCTCTAATATGTTTCATTTTTCTCATGTAGGGTCATAAACAATGGCTTGCTGAAGTTCAATTTCTCGGTGTTGTCGATCACCCTAACCTTGTAAAACTTCTGGGATACTGTTCTGTGGATGGGGAAAGAGGGATACAACGTCTATTGGTGTATGAATACATGCCCAATAAGAGCCTAGAAGATCATCTTTTTGCCAGAGCTCCGACACCTATGCCTTTTAAAACAAGATTAGAAATTATGCTCGGTGCAGCTCAAGGATTGACTTATCTGCATGAGGGATTGGAAATCCAGGTTTCTTATTATATTAGTCAATTAACGTCAGTTGTTTATACATTACTGCTAGACAGTTGTAGGTTTAAATGATCTAAGGTTTTGGGGCCATCGGTCTAACTAGCCTAGTCTTAGGGATGTGAATGCAAGTTCACATTCTCTAATCCATCACAAAGAATTGTATACTGAATTTATTAATAGGTGCTAAAATGTATCCGGTGAAGGGAATTCTAGTGAATTCATTGTTATTAGGAAATTTCCTGACGATCCTGTAAATGTCTCCATGTAAATATGGTCATTCTCTGTAGTTTTCTAGTGACAATTAATATTTTATTGATAGGAGTGTTTTGGGAAGATGGTAAAAAGTTGGCTTTTAGCTTTTTATTAAGCTTTTTGGCTTTTTTGGAAAGTGATTTGGAAAGTTGCTAAAAAAACTTCTTTTTTGCTTTTTTGTATAATATTTATTTATTGTGTCACATCACATTAAAATGACCAAAGTATCCTACTAAAGAAATTTACTATTTGACCTAGGTAATTGTTTGAACAATTATGTAATTCATGGAGGGCAATTACGTAATTTTACCACCTGCGTTTTTGTCCCTTCCCAAATCACCTTGCTTGCGTTTTTATGCTGCTTGTGGCGTTTTTGGATGGCTGCAAAACGCAGCTTTTTGTTTTCTTCCCAAAGGGCCACATAGTACCATAGACTGGGAAACACAAATATGGACATATGACATGACATTGACATGTCGACACGATAATTTTCAATAAATGTGGGACGCGCCATGTGGGAGGCTCGCACAAAAAATATAATTTTGTATATTTATTATATGTCATATATATGAATATATCATTTAGAACTAATACAAAAAATTGCAACATAACACTAATTTCTATAAATTTATATTGTTTTATTTTATCATAGTATCCTAAGTTATTTTGTTCAAAATTCTTTGTTATCTAACCGATGAATACATGTGTCCGTGTTCCCCAAGTGTTTGAATCCTGTTCAGGTTTCAAAAATTTTAAAAATAATAGGACATGGATGAAAGAGCATCCAACACGTGTTGGCAAGTGTCCAATGAGTGTTGGTGCTACACACATGTCCAACTTGGACATTATATAGACATGACACCATCTTAGAAGTGTTCATTTTTCTTAGACCACATAAATAAATACAATGATGACGTCCTTATTGGCTTAATGTTTTATAATTTGAATTTGATTTGAAACAATACACTGAATATGTTGTTGAACTATTTCTTCTTGTGTTAATCTGGAAGGTGATCTATCGGGATTTCAAATCTTCAAATGTGCTCTTGGATGAAGACTTCAAGCCAAAGCTTTCAGATTTTGGGCTCGCTAGGGAAGGTCCAGTTGGTGATCGTACTCATGTATCCACGGCAGTAAGTAGATAGTGTATATAAACTGGCTTACTCTGACTTTCCTTCAACACATATTATGAACAAACTATTTGTGACTCTTAATAATAATATGCATATGTACCCGCTAATCTTTTGTAGGAACCAAGTATGAGTTCTTCGATTCTCTCTTTTTCTTCTTCTATTGTGTGTGTGTGTGTGTTCTTTTGAAACTGGGGATAAATCTTTCTTCATAGATACAAGATATTCATTGCTGATCTAAAAAAGATCTTATCCCGTGGGCATTAATGGAATGAGTTCAGTTTACCATGTCTTTTAGATGGGGGCATTTAATTTGAACCATGGACCTAACAATTTGGTTTGTTTGTATCATGTTTCCATTTTGTTTTAATTTTTAATTTTTTATGTCAGGTTGTTGGGACGTACGGATACGCTGCCCCGGAATATGTTGACACTGGCCATCTCACAATCAAGAGTGATATATATAGTTTTGGTGTCGTGCTTTATGAGATTCTAACAGGCAGGCGGACCTTGGAAAGAAACCGCCCAACAGTGGAGCAGAAGCTTCTAGAATGGGTGAAACAGTACCCGGTGGATGGTAAGAGGTTTAGCATGATCATGGACCCCCGACTCAGAAACCAATATTCTCTTCCTGCGGCTCGCAAGATCGCCAAGTTGGCTGATTCTTGCTTGATCAAGAATGCAAAAGATCGGCCTACAATGAGTCAGGTGGTGGAGTGCTTGAGACAAGCAATACAAGATTCAGAAGAAGCAAGTTCTTCTCAAAGTCGGAGTTTTGAGTCATCTACGTCTAAGCCGGTTGCCTCAAATAAGCGCTCATCACAACCTGTGGGAGTTACAGATACTTCAGAAGAGCGTCTGCCAACCTACCGTTGCCCTTACCTCGGCCAAAAGATACTTCAATTAGGGTTAGTAAAAGAAGAATTTTATTTAAGTTTGTTTGGTTGAGTTTTCAGAATTTGTTTTTGAATTTTTTCTCAAAAAAATAAACGAAGTTGACAAAAATAAACACTAATTTTATTTATTTATTTATTTTTCAATTTTTAAAATTTATTTTCACCTAAAAAAGAGAGAGAATCATATGAAAATGATGAATTTTTTTCTTTAATATTTCCACCGAACTATTTTTTAGATTTAAAAAGAAAAAAGAAAAAAAAGAAACTAGATTTTGAAAACTGAACCAAACATGGCGTGGACTTTTGTAGCTGATATAATTTTCTTTCGATTTTTGACAGGTATAAATGCTAGCTTGAGGATGGAATACTTGTGTTGCGGGCGGTCTTCTGTTTCTCTGGACTAATGAGGTTTGAGTATCCAATTCGTGCATTTCAAAGAACTACCCTTGTTTTGGGCTCAAATATATTGTTCATGCAATACTGGTATCTTTTTTGTTTTTATATTTATTAAGAGGTTTTATATTTGTATATGGAAGAGGGCGGTGTGAAAGGCACACCAGACATGATCTCTGCGTCGTAGAACAGTTGAAATTTTATATTTCCACGTGATTGTAAATCGTAGAATTGGAGCTTTGATCTTGTAAAGTGATTTTTTCTTCTCATTTAGTTGAAACAGCTTCGATTGCTCATTTATGCATAAAATTTTCACACATTTTCAACTAGCGCTGGAAATGAAAGATTGCCCGGTGAGAGGTACAATATTTGTTTGTTGTATATAGAAGAGTGAAGTGAAACCTTCAGCACATGAAGGGAATGCGAGAGAGCAAGGAGAGGGTCTTGATTCATGCTCATTTATCATTTTTTGTTGTTGGAAGCTCTCACCTACATATATATAAACACAATTTGGTGTTGCTATATATTGACATAGGAATATTTAAGTTCAAGCTTGTTTTGACACTTTTAAGGTATAGCATACAATTTGTTGCCAGTTCTTCTCAGTGTGCATCCGATGGCCACTACTATTTTATATATAGGGGTGCCATGTCGTCCCTTGATTTTCGAATAACCACATGGATGTAATGTTAGGTATCATGAAATATTCTCTACCGTTAGTTGTACATACAAGAAAATACTACACACTAATTAAAGGATGAAATTTTTTTATAAAACATTTCATGATTCCTAATAGTATTCGTTTATATGTATCGAGTAAAATTCCTTTGTTCTTTTTGTGCTGTGATAAAGTATGATTTACTGTAGAGGTTGAAGAAGAATAAGAGAGAGACCTATGTGAATTTTTTTTTTGGTTATTCAATTTTTTTGGGGATTGGAAAGTTTCTTATTTTGTTTTTGTTCTTTTTTATTGATATTGCATTATTTGTTGGGTAAAGTAAGCTATGTAGAATATTAAATGTGTTGTTTTTAAATGGCATTGAAATGTCATTTAAAAACAACACATTTGGATAATTAGTGTTATGTTTGGTTATTGAATTTGTTATGTGAAACAAAAATGAAATTATTTATATTTTTCTATTAATAACCAAACAAAAAAATGGATTTTTTTAACAAATATATTATTCATTTTTTATTCTTTTTTCCTAATGCAACAAAATAGACTAATCCTGTCATGCTCGTACCACCAAAAATGGTGATTTTGAAATGGACAAATTACAAATATATCTTATGAGGTTTGATTAAAATACGAGTCGTCTCTTTAGTTTTTAATGATATTAGAAATATGTTTCAATTAATAATTTAGGTAATTTTATTATTGTATAGGAGACCAATTATGAATTTCATTTTTTTAGTTAATTCTGTTAAATAAAAAATACTAACAAGGAGGTATTTGTAATTTTCTAAATCATAAGGAAAATTTGTACTTTAAGTAAATTTCAGGGGGTGCATTTGTAATTTATCATTTTGTAAAGTATAAGGTAAGGGAGAAAAAAATTATTGCAAATTTAAAGAAAAGAAGTGCAAATATTTTAGATATTTTATAACAAATATTAATTAGTTAGATTTTGCCCTTTATTCCAAATTATAAGAGGTTAAACTTATATTTTTGAATGACATGGAAATTATAAACTTTTGAACTAATTATAATCATCTCTTTTTATTTTTTATTCTTCATTAGAAAGTTCTCTATGTCTCTAAGGTCCTGTTTGTTTTCAGATGTAAAATGGAGGGGATTGTTAGTGAGAGAATTGTTAATGAGGGGACTGCTAGTGAGGGAATTAAGAAAAATTGTGTTTGTTTGATAATCAATGGACTAGTAATAGTTCATGTTTATTTTGGAGTGCCACTATTAGCACTTGCCAAAATTCTTTGGACCCCTCATTTTATAATTTTTTTTTATTACAATTATATCCTAAAGTAAAATTACATTAAAAGACATTATTAAACGGAACACCCACCTATCAATAAGAACTAATACTCTATAATATTGGACACCCACCCCCACCTCCAACTCCAACTCCAACTCCAACTATACGTATTCCATGTTTGTAAACCATAAATCTATTACTTTTCATAACCAACTAATATAAATCCTGTTAATCATATTATTTAATTTTGATGATGTCTAAAATATTATTTGTAACAATTTGAATTTTTTTAATATAAATATTATTTGACACAAAATATTATCTTTTTAAAATATATATATTTGTTAAATATTATTTACATAAAAATATTTTTGAACACTTTACTATTCACTTTTGGACAAAATTAAAATTGATTAATTATATTATTTTGACAAATGTGATATTGATAATTTGTTTTCTTTTGATATGATCACATAGGATGAATGGTATGAAAAATGATTTTTTCTCCCGAAAAATCATTCCCTCGAATCCCCCGTTTTTTTTTCCCTCTCGTTTACATCTGAAGAGGGGAAAAGCAAGAGAGAAAGAGGAGAGGAGAGAGGGAAACAGAGAGAGAGGCCCCTCCATTCTGTCGATCACCCAGTCGATCGTCGGAGAGAGAGAGGGAGAAAGAGAGAGGAGAGGAGAGGAGAGAGGGAAACAGAGAGAGAGAGAGGCCCCTCCATTCTGCCGATCACCCAGCCGATTGCAGCTCGGCCAATCGTCGCAGATCGCCCGGCCGATCGTCGCAGCTAGTCTGCCTCTGCCTCCGCCCGGCCGCCGTCTGCCTCTTTCTTCTTCTTCCCTTCTTCTTCTTCTTCTTCTTCTTCTTCTTTCTTCTTCTCTAATTGAACAAAAAAAAAAAAAAAAAATTCAAAACGACGAAACAACGTCGTTTTTTAATTCGGGGAGGATTCGAGGGCCTCCATTCGAGCTACCAATCACTTCTCTGAATGGTATATAGCAAAATTATTTGATTTATATTTTGCATGCAAAATGAAACTTACTCAAGTGGTGTTTAAAAATAAATCATACCTTTATATAAGAAAAGATAAGTGTAAAAGTTTGACAAAATTATTGCATCTTATATATATGCATATATATACATGATATTATATTCAAAAGTGTTGATTAGATTATATATTCAAACCTTGGTGATTCGTCTATAAAGTTTGAAAAAGTGAACAAAGAAAATTTATACAAAAGAAAAGGTGCCCATGATTACAAGAGAAGACTTATGTAATTGTAAATCAATCTTTGAAGATGTTTTGCCTACAGAATTAAAAAGAAAAGTTGAAAAAATGCTTTGAATTTGCTTGCATAAGAAAATAGACACATAATCATGTAGTTCTTGACTTCAAGGAGTACATAATAATGGAGCAAAATCAATTCCCTATTTGAATTCAAAGATGTGATTCAAATTATCTACAAATCGGTGGCTCATATTTGAATTTTGTATCATGTCACATATATACATATACACACACACACACACATATATACTAATGAAACAAGAAGAAAAAGTTGAAGCAAATTATTTGCTTGGTTGAAAGTTGTGTTTTATATCAAAATTTTCTAAAACGTTGGCTGCATTTTTGACTAAACAAAAAGGGAAAAGAAAAAGTTACTCTTACTAATTATTTTCATCTTTTTCTTTATTAACATGTGCTGAATATTTAAAATTAAGGAGCGTGCTTATGTAAGCCATGACGTCAGCAAGGAGCGTCCAACGGGTATATTTTTGTGTATAAATAGAAGTGTTGTGTGTGGAGAAAAATCAAGAACTTGAAGAGAAAATTTTATGTGAGCTCCAAAATTCTGAGTATATTGTATTTTGCTCTTTCACTTTCAGATCTAAGTCTAACTTTTGTTCTTACACTTTCATATCTACTCTTTGTGAGAGAATTATTGTAAAAGAGGGTTTAAGTACCACTTATTTTTATTCCTTATTTTTGTGACAGATTTTGTAAGGGTAAGGCATTTATTGTTGAGTGAGACTCAATAGATAAGAGTAAGTCCTGTGCCAAATCCACAAGCTTGGTGGTGTATTTATTCAATTGATAGTAAAGAAATTCTCAAGGAGGTTCCTTGGGGAGTGGACGTAGGCCTGGCGTGCCGAACCACTATAAATCGCAGTGTTTGATTTTCTCTCCCTATCTCTCTTACTTTTATATTGATAATTATTATTATATTTTTTTATTTATTAAAATTCTGAATATTGTGTTAATTTTAATATTGTGAAATTTCTAATAACCTAATTCACCCCCCTCTTGAGTTGCCTATCTGGGATAACAAACCCTAAATCTATTATTTTTCATAATCATCTTAAATCCTGAATGTGTCATCTTCATCACCATCATCAACGCTATTGAACTTGAAAGTTTTGCTTCAAGTATAACGTATACTTCATCACTTATTTCACTGTGTAGAGCAATGGAGGACGAGGACAACAATTCTAGTGAGACCGGCGTTCCATTAATAAGTTTATCTGTCTTGTATTAGCATTCTCGATCGTTTTCAGTCGTTCTTGTTTCGTTCGAGCTGTTCGGTACTAGTTTGCTGACTGCTAGAATTATGTTCGCTAATACAGTACTGAACATAATCATTTCGTTCAATACATAGGTTCCGAACATTAATGCAAATAGTCAGTTATGTAATTTTCTTTGTTAAACTAACTTAGAATGAAAAAGAGTGAATTAGAATTGATTTAAGTTATGTATTTTGAATAATTCATGTTATTTTAAGTTGTGAATTGGAATGGATTCAAGTTACATAATGATGAACAAATTTTGTTCGGACATACAGTGCTGACAGGATCATTATTGTTCGACAAAACAGTTCTGAACAAAATACATTTTTTCGGCTACACAGTGGTAAACAAATTGTTTTGGGCTACATTTAGAGTTCTGATGGCGATTCAGACGATGATTCTGTTTTTCCTCATCTTGCAAACGGTTATGCAAATCCCGTAGAAATTGGAGTATCTTCGATCGATCTCAGCGACGACGAAGATACAAAAAGCAACGAAGAAGATGATGATGAGAGGATGAGAGAGGTTACTGACTCGGTGATACGAAGAGCGTTCAGAGAAGATGAGAGTTGTCGGAATGTTTCGTTGACGGCCGAGACGGCGACGAGAGTGATGGAGGGTTGGGGTCCAAGAATTCTATACTGGACCAAACCTCCAAACTCTGAAGATTGTGTGAGTCAGGGAATGAGAGGGATGAAAAATTAGGTGGGTGTGCATTTCATTGTGAAAATATTATGAATATGGGTAGATTTGGTAATAAGTGGGGTGTCCAAAAAAATATTATTAAAATTTAGGGTTTAGGGTTGGGGTCTAAAGA